AATCAGTAATGGAAGGTGGTGCTACCCACAAGGAAATGGATTCCTTTATTGCTCATATTAGTAGACAAAATGTTTCATCTGAAATCTAGTTCTTTGGTCATCATTGTGGAAAGATATAATTTGATATCATCATTACACCACAATAGAATTTTCCTCTATCTTCTTTGAAGAATTCCAAGTTGTTTTGAGAATTCTCCTTTTCATATTAAGTAGTTATGCACAAGATTATGTAATCTTAATTTCCTTTTCCTTTTCCTTTTCACTGCTCAGGATCAAGCTCTGGAATCCTAATTTCACCTTTTCACTTTTTCCTGATTTCAATCATAAATCAATAGAAACTTCCCAAATCAAAAGATATAAAAATGTAAAGCTATCCTAAGGGCACATTTGGCTCAGCTTTCTTTGGCTCTTTTAATTGATTTTTTTACCGTTTATTTCTAATCGTGGGACCCGCATGTGAGATGAGAAGTCAAATGTTGTGGGCTGAGTTGATGGTTAACAGGTGAAAAAATGATTAAAATTTGCCAAAAAACTCAACCAGACACATTCTTACATTAAAAAATTACGTATAAAGTTGAACATCCTTAAAGAATCACCCAAATACCCAACTAATTTACTCACTTGCGTCTACCTACCTTCCAGTTGTCTTAACATCTCAGCTATCTTTTATCTCACGTTGGGTCGTAAGACATTCCGGCGAAGCGTGTGAAGCACGCAAACATGGGATGTCTATGTATTGGAAATGGTTCTACTAGGTCAATCTACATTTTAGATAAGGTAGAAGGTGAAATTCAAACGCTATTTGAATTAGAAGCAGTCAATATTAGGCATAAAATAATTGAAATGGTTACCGTCATAACAAGTGATGGAGGAGTAACCGTGACAATTTTTTAATATATAATGATTTGAACAAGTAAATTTTTTGGTTTTGCTACGTCAACAATAGGGGGTCCGCGACTTTTTATTGGACACGACCCCCTTATTATGAGGGGACTGTCAACCCCGATATACAAATATCAAAATCCTAAAATTATTTTTTTGGTTTAACTGACGAAAAAATGGATGGAAATCATCCAAAATGGCCTCACATGCAATTGTTGAAAATGTTAGGAATGATGACCGCAACAAATCAAAAGTTTGAAAAAAGTCTGCTAATATTTCAAAAATTTTGGACTTTTGCTGCAATTATC